AAATCGATCAAGGAAATAAAAGACTTGAGGAGGTTAAAAAAAAGCGATCAAAAGATGGTTGTTTGATGAGGATAATTAGTTTGCATGGTGGACGATGATGTTTTATTTTCGTATGTTATTTGATTGTGAATGTGGCTGCAGCTGCGTAAAACATGTGCTGGATAAGTTGACGGTTCATTCCGCTGTGGCGACCCCTAATTAATAAAGGGACTAAACCGAAAAGAAAAATGAAGGAATGTATTTGTGAATTATTTTGTTGCTGTTTTAAAATGTGGAGGTGCTGTTTGTTTTATGCATCATCTGTATTTTCAACAGTGTTGGGGAAAAAAGTAATATATTACAATCTGTAGTTACTTAAAAAAATAAATAAAACGTAACTAAATATGTTACTTACTTTTTAGGGACGCAATGTCAATAAAAATCTGCTGTTATTTTATTGTAATTTGCATTTTTTTTACTTTTTTTTTTTAAGAGATGAGGTAGACGTAAAATTGTAATGTATTACTTTTTTCCCAACACTGATTTTGAAGCCATGCTAGGTTTTATTTAACAGTGAGGACCACTATGGAAACAAGCCCAGGGCTTTATTGTGTTTATATCCTCGACAGTTTTTTATTTCAAAATGTATGGGATACTTGTATTTTTGTACAGCTTGTCTAAAATATGTCAAGTAAATTCAATTAAATTCAAAACAAGACATTTTTGATTCTTGATTTAAGGATGTTTAGATATTCTGACATAAAACAAGACCAAAACTAAGTAATAAAGGCATTTTTTCCTGTGTAAAACTGCACCAGCTGGCCTGAGTGTGCACCAAAGATAAGAAATAACAGGGTGAATATGGTGAAACAGCCTTGACTTTCATCACTTCCTGTGCCACTCATTAAAACCCAGCCTGACCACAGCAGCTGCCCGTGTGTTTGTCGTTTAAAAGACTTTTAATAGCCATAACATGCATGAAATCACACTCGAATACTTCACATACTGAAAACAGACACAACATATCGTCCTCTAGTGTGAACAAAAATATATATAAACTCTTAGAAAGCGATTCACGACCATGAAACACGTTTTTGGTAGATTATTTAATAGATTTTCAGCGTCAATGTGAACTTCAGGCGTGTTTTGGTCTTTTCTGCAGACCGCAAAACAAGGAAATTGACTTCATAACTCCTCCTAAACAGGTTTTAAAGATGTTAACTTTATATAGACGTTTTTTATAACGCAGCCTACGTGTGAGGATTATTAAATGTCCAACTAAACACGACAAAATCATGAAAAGTAAAGCAAAATGACAGTCGCGTTTGTATGAATGCAAAAAGACAAGCGTTCAGACTTTAACGTTACCTCGTGTGATGATTTGCAGTCCACTTCCGACTATGAGCTTGTATTTTATAATCCAGGAGTTCTGGCTGCTGTTGGATCCTTTAAACATCTGGAGTTCATGCAGTTTGACGTTTTGCCTCTGATTTTTTTTTCACTCCGTTAAAAACAGCAAAACCGCCCAGCAGATTCGAGGCGCGTCTGCGCAATACGCGATAAAAACGGAACGCGTTGTGACGTATCGCCAGGTTGACCAATCAAAGAGTTCGGTTTCGCGTCGCGTACAGACGCAAGAAAACTAGATTAGTACGAGAAACATAATAGTAATAACACACAAAACAAATATGACATAAACATTATTTAGCAAATTAACTTCAAGGTAATAATATTGTATATTACAATTATTTATATTTGTACTGCTGTGTGTGTGGTTTAAATGCAATAAATATGTTCTGCTAAATATAATATAATATAATATAATATAATATAATATAATATAATATAATATAATATAATATAATATAATATAATATAATATAATATAATATAA